GATAGGAAGGATAGGAAAGGGCGGGAGAAAGTGTATGAGTGTTTCCTTCGTCCCTCGGCTTCTTTTCTTTACCACTGCACTGCATACAGCTCACCTATGTTGGGATGTAGGATGGTGTGGCACAAGAGGAGGGCAGTTAATAATCCAATGGTGTCAAGTGTACGCCTGTGTTTAACACTGTTTATCTTTGCCACCTGCGGGTGGCTGTGCCTCTCTCCTGCTGTGCTCATCCTGTAAGGAGGGGCTGGAGCCATTCTAAATAGCCCCAGCTTTGGGCTGCATGGCTGGCACTTGTTCAGATTGCCAGCTCTCTTCCACAGGTTGGGTGTGAGTGCATAGCAGTGAGAGAGAGCCCTTAGTCAAGATGTACATGAAGTTGCTGAGACCTAAGAGCAAATATTACTAGAGTGTTTATACTCTGCCTGGCCCCTTGGCTTTGCTGAGCTTGAACTTTAGCCAAGTTGAGGTTGGATGTGAGTGAGAGAGCCCTTAGTGAAAGTGTAGTTGCTAAGTTAGAGTTAGACCGAAGACTAAGAGAAAAATAGTGATTAGAGTGTTACTCTGCCTGGTCTTTGCCTAGGCTTTGCTCAGCTTGAGCTGTAGCTGCTCCTGGCTGTGGAGTGCTAGCATGCTGGGCTGGGGTGTCTTGTCAGTGTCAGCTGACAGCTTGCCGTCAAGTGGAGCCTGCCACTGTGTCACTTTTTTGCCAGCCAGCACTCATCATGCCAGCGTTGTACAAGTGGCAATGGCAGCACTATCTCACTATCTGTGCTGATGAGGTGGAGACTGGAGTCAGCATGCAGGCTGGATCTACAAGGCCTACTGGGAAAGACTTTTCTGGTAGACAATCAGTATGTTTTGCTGAAACACACATAGATCTGCTCTGCCCGCTTCACGTGTCAAACGACAAAAGGAAAACTTCAAAACTGACACAGAACCTTGCCAGCTCGTCTGTCTGCGCGTGCACATACTTCTAATGTGCGGCGCTTGACAGCCTCTGCAGAATGGAATTCTGGACAGTCGAGCTCCCTGTGCCGTGCCCGGATTGTGCGGACTTCGTGTAATTTCTGCGTTTGGACATCTAATTAGAGTGTGGCTGCCACTGTAAGTCGTGTCTAGTTTACGTGCAGAGCAGAACTGTCGGTGATACTCTTGCCTCCGGGGAGTGATTGTGTGAGCCATCACAACATGCAGCAGTAATTCTGATTCGCCGAGTGTCTCTCCAATGCCTGACTTGCTGTGCATGCTGCTGCAGTGGCCAGTGTGTAGCCCTGGGGTGAGCCGTTACAGCTAGCTCGGCAGCTGCATGCCAGTCACGTGCAGCCCTGGACTGCTATGCTGCTGATGCTGGGCGTACGGAGGCTCCCGGTGTCCGCATCGTTAGGTGTAGCTCTTGCTGCTGCTGCTGCTGCTGTTTTTATTCATTCTTTACTGTAGACAGGGGTGTATACGCGGCGATCTGCCGATCTGCTGACAAGTAGTTTAGTAGGAGTAGTTAGGGTGGTCGCTCTCTGCTGATGCTTCTCCACAGCTAGCCAGGCATTGCACATGCAGGAAACGTAGCAATACAAAGCTGTCACAAGCACAGAAGCTGCTTCAGCAGGCTCACACACATGCACACACACACATAGTTTGAACAGGAAATCCAGCGAGATCGGCCTGTGCCTGGGAGCTGGGAAGCGCGTGTCAGTGCGCTACTATAACGTTGCTACCCAGTCGTCATTCACTTGCTTGTAATTGTCATGACATGAGCTTGTTGCACCAGCAGCAGCAATGTCATCACTGTACTAGCACCTAGCTAGGCCAGCAGCAGCTCCAACAGCTACCACTCAAGTGCTACATGTATCAATGTGATGCAGCAAGCCCTGCCAAGTATCCCCCGGTACCGTGTCAGTCCATGATACGGGAGCAGAGTGCCTACACTGCCTGCAATCAGAAAGACGTAGACTTGACCTGGCGGCCGGCCGCTGAGCCAGCAGCTGATCTGTGACAAGGGGACTACCTGTGACTCATTCTCCTATTTCTAAAGGGCCCCGGCTAGGCTTGGAAGGGAAATACTCCCGGCGGCGGTAACAGACGGTTTTATTGCCACACACCTGTGTGTGTGTGTATGAGTGCGTGGCCACGTGGGTGCATGTGTGGGGTATAAAAGGTCCTGGCCGTTTGCAGGGAGGAGACAGAATTGGAATACTGCTGCTGAGCATGCTTTAGTGCTTCTATGCTGCTGTGCTGTCAGAATCGTCCTGCATAGTGAGTGAGTGAGTGCTTGCTTCCTGGAGGGCTGGGAGTCTAGTTATATCAGTTAAACAGGTCAGATACAAGACTGCAGAAAGGAGATCACAGAGAGGAGACTACAGAGAAGAGATTGGCAGAGCGGAGACCACACAGCAGACATTGGAGAGAGGATACTACAGAGCAGGGACTGGAGAAAGAAGAGGACAGAAGAGAGGACAGGCATAACAGTTCTGGGACAAGGCCTGACTGCTGCAGCAAATCGGTATACGGCAGTGATTACTGACACTCTGCAAGTCCTAGTAACCTGACCATCACTTACAACAGTGGTGTCAGTATGGCTGGAAGATACGTTGTGACAATGCCAGTACAGCTTCATAGGTGTGTGTCAGCATTGCTGCTGGTGCTGCTTGTGACCCTGTTCCTGTGTACTGGCCGGAGCAGTGCTGCTCGTATTGGTGTTGCTGGTACAGCTGGTTCTGCTGGTGTTGCTGATGCTGGTGCTGGTGTTGCTAGTTCTGTTGGTGCTGCTGGTACCGCGGGTGCTGGTGCAAATGCTAGGCACGCCGCCAGTAACGGACAGATCGGTGTCCAGGCTGGGGAGCAGCGTAGCGACCTGCACATGCGCAGCGGCAGCCCGTCGCCCAGATTGTCCACGAATAGCGACAGCATCAGCAGCGGCAGCAGCAACACCGCCAGGCAGGGTATCAACGCACGCAATGGCGCTGTACCGATGAATGGAAACCGCTTGGAAACGCCCATGCCGAAGTCCCATTCGATGAGAGCGGCAGCTGGTATGCCGGGCGATAGCAGAGGCCGCCCTGATCGTCCCAGAACGTCCTCCATCGCCGCAACCACTGAACACAGACCTAACCAGACCTCTGCAGAGCCGACGGCGACACCTTCACTCGCCAGCAGAGCGTCGACGCCAGCAGCTGCAACCGCCAGCGCAAGCATCTTGCCCCTGCTCACGCAGCCGGGCGTCTGCACGAAAAAGGAAACGTTGTGCCGGAAGCATCGAGTGTACAGATGCAAGCCGGGCAAGCTGCCGCGGCTGAAATTGAACAGAAGCTGCAGGCGCCCATGTTACGTGCACGGCACCGAAGTCCCGCACTTGCATCGAGTGACAAGGTGCAAGGGCATGCAATGTTATGTATGTAGGTGTAGGAACGGAGAATTCCTCACCTGCCACAAGTTCAGCCTCTAACTGCCACTCCCCTGGTCAGCTCTCGTTCAACGAACACCCTGACGTTGTACTCAGTGTCTCAGAGACTGGCCCAGCTCTGCAGCCAATTATTTTATTTTATTTTGTTGCTGTTGCGAACAAAACATGTAGAGATCTTTGTTCGTCTTGCCAAACTCGCAGCTTGAAAATCTATTGAGTTGATTTCGTATCTCAATCTGTCTCTGTTTGTGTCTGTCTGTATGCCGCTCTCTCTCTCTCTCTCTCTCTCTCTCTCTCTCTCTCTCTCTCTCTCTCTCTCTCTCTCTCTCTCTCTCTCTCTCTCTCTCTCTCCCTCTCTCCCTCTCTCCCTATCTCTCTCTCTCTCTCTCTCTCTCTCTCTCTCTCTCTCTCTCTCTCTCTCTCTCTCTCTCTCTCTCTCTCTCTCCTATGCTGAAGCTATGGAGTGATTTTCTTTATTTTATTGAACAGTATTCTTCGTAACGCTATCCACAGAATCTGTGGACTGCATCGGCCAGTGGCCATCTTTCCTGTCCCGTGAAACACCCCAAACACTGCCCCTTGATCAGCGCCAGATGCAGCTTTTATTGTAATGACCTGCTGTATATCTTTCATCCGTTAGTATTGCCAATGTTGATTGTTCAGCTTACTTCTGCAATAGGATAACATAGCCTGTACTAGGACATGTAAGGCATGCTAGCTTCGCGTAAAATTTATTATTGTTTTCACCCGTGATGTAGCTGTGCTCCAGACGGTTTTTGTCTCTTTTTTCTAGACGGTGATCTGGTGTGGATTGTTTGATACGACTGGTGATGCCGGCACTCGTGTGTGTGTGTGTGTAGGCGTGTGTGTGTGTGTGTGTGTGTGTGTGTGTGCGTGTGTGTGTGTGTGTGTGTGTGTGTGTGTGTGTGTGTGTACGTGGGGTTGTCCAGTTTCTCTCCGCCCAACTGCTGTAGGCTATGCGCTCATGGCTCTCTTATGCGGGTGGTCTGGGACCGGGCACTGCCCGTAACTTTAAAGTGTCCGTAACTCTGAGTCACATACGTTTCAACGGGGAAGGGCTGGAGATCTGGCATATGATGTCGCTTTTTCCACAAAATTGGCAAAATAGTAGTTATATTTCCGCTCAATCTCACCCACCGCGTGCCAGTAGGCCGTGGTGGCCGGAACTTGGAGGTCCGGATAAGAGACATTATGGGTGTAGTCTCTCACGCGTATTATCACACAAACTACCGTCTGGTCACTGTCATTTCGACACCCTACAACGCCATGAATAGGCGAAGGCTGCGGCGACCTCACGTTCAGCGAACCTATCCTTGAACCACTAGATCATCTGTGATATTGTCGTCACCTGCGGAGCGCTTCAGTAGTCGATTTCTGCTCCCTTCAGACGAGAATTATCGCTTTCTGGGCACGTGTCTATTGAATGTGTCTGTGGGGGGTGAGTGTGTGTGTGTGTGTGTGTGCATGCATGCGTACGTGAGGTTGTCAGATTTCATTGAGCCCGACTACTGTCAACTACATTCTCTTTCATTTGTGTCTGTCTGTCTGTCTGTCCATCTGTCTGTCTGTGCACACGTATGTACACGCTTGTCTGTATATGTTTGTCTGTCTGTCGTTTTGCCTGCACAGTCGGCAGCCAGTAGCTGACAGGAATGGATCGCAGGTCATCCAACTGCCGTCCGCGGACGTTGCCCACTTGGAAGAAGCAATCACAGGCAATGTGACATCCTGCGACGGTTAGTCTGTCAGGCTTTCTAGTAGTGTTGAAACGATCTCACCGGATACTCGTTAGCTCGCTCGCCAGAAACTCGGCTCGTTTGTGCGGCCAGCTCGTTTACACTAACGAACACCGTACACCGTACTCCGTACACATGGCAGTACATGTCGACTGGGGAGTCGTATAATATTTTACAGCTCCCTGGTTGATCAAGAGTCCAGTCCCGCGCAAAGTGAAAATCACACGCAGTTACAGTGACTGTATGCCTCCACGACACTGAGTTGTTTCAGTTGTCGTTGCAGCTCTGGTGGACTCTACTGAAGTCTTGTTCCGCATCTGCTGACCTGTCGCTGGACATGCTTTTGTCAACTCTCCATTCGAGTAAAAATTACGCTGATGCGTTTGGAAGTTTTCTCCCGCGATGCAGCAAAGAACAGGTCTACTTGCAATCTTTGCAAAACTGTCTATTCTTACATAGGCTGCTCAACGACGCTGCTGGAAAGACAGCAGTCCGAAGTGAAGCAGCAGCAACCCCAAATGCCGGCGGTGATAATTTGAACCAGCTGAATTGAAAAAAATTGAACTTAGAAAGAAATTCTAATAATTATGTGAAAAAATCATATTTGCCATATCATTACGGAGCATCAGCAAATCGAATATTCGAGTGAAATTCGAGAATCGTCACGAAAAGCCCTCAATCAGTCGAAACTAGGGCTTTGTTCGACTGAAAAATGCCCGCAAACAGAAAATACTTTTCGAATACTTTTCGAATGCTCCACGCGTGCTCTAGTATTATAGTACTCACACTTGCGCATGTAGCTACTAATTCTTACAAGACTGAAGTACTTGTAATCGTAGTTGTACATGTCAGTGCACAAGGCACAGTCGAACCGGACTTCTTGACGCTTTCCTCTCTCTCTCGAACTGTGAAAAGTTTTGTCAAGACTAGTGTGCTTTTTGTTTCATTTCAAGTATCCTGGAATCATGGCTTTGTCACCAACTACCAGCCCCGGTATGCCTCCTGCTCCCAGTTCTGCAGTAGCCCTGCTGGCGTTGTCTCGGCATCTGCGTCGTGAGTTCCCCGCAGGGAGAGGGCAACTCAAAGTGTGCCAAATATTTGAGGTTCGACCTTACCATGGATCTCATTCTGCTGAGGCAGTTTAGGGCCCACCCTTAGCTATTCGTCCGCGGGTCTCCTGATATGCAAGGGGTAGCGGAGGAGCTCGACCGAGATCCGCCTTTTCAAGGGGTCTCCAAGAGAGATCCTCTCGCCAATAGCCTGAATCGGATGAAGCATCCGCCGCTTCGCGTCATCCCCAAAGGCAATGAGAAACAGCAGCAACTCCGTTCGGTCCAGGTGACCTTCAGCGAACTCAAGGAAGAGAAGCGAATCCAACAAATCGACTTGCTCTGCAACAAACGCAGCCATTGCACATCTCAAAATCCCAGTCCTCAACTGCTCAAGCTAAAAAAACTCGATTCGAAAATACTGGACAGCTATTATGCTGAACCTCTTTTTCATTCGAATTTTCTCTCTGATTTTCTTTTTGCCATTCGAATAATCAAATCGAAAATTCGATTTGCTGATGCTCCGTATTGAAACTCGTTAGCTCGCTCGATAGCGTGCTCGTTGTGGAACTGTCCGCTCGTTTGTTATAGATAGGCTCGTTTCAACACTGCTTTCTAGAGATGTTCATGTCCGTGTCTCTCTTGTATTCTGTCACTTCTACACTCATGCACCATGATACATACGAGCAGAAGCACTTGCCTGCACACACATGCATTCACACGTGCACACACGCGCACCCATGAGGGAAGGGGTCTTCCGTGAAGAAAAGCAAATCAGCCATCTTTGTGCGTGTGCGCGTGCATATGTGTGTGTGTGTGTGTGTGTGTGTGTGTGTGTGTGTGTTTGTGTGTGTGTGTGTGTGTGTGTACACGTGCGCATGCATGTATGTGCATGTGCTACAGGTCATCGCAGCGTGGTTATCGTGGACGCCCTTTCATGCCTTCTACGCGGTGGTCAGTCTGTGTCAGCCTGCTGTCGTGTGCTCAAGAGACTGTCTACTATTGGTACGGCCACCACTGGTACTAGCACTGGACAATCAGGTAAAACGATAAGATTTGGCTACAGTCAGATCTCGCTTATCCGGTCCTCTTTCATCCGGATCCCTCGCCCTCGCCATCCGGAAGAAAATCATTGGTTACCGATTTACAGCACATGCCATGCATACATACAGTATGTGTGTTCGATTATCCGGCTCCCTCGTCTACCGGTATCCGGATTTTTTTGTGGAAAACAGATGTGTGAGGCTATGCGAGGTCTGACTGTATTGGGTCTCTGTTAGGTTTGGTAGACAAGAGACAAGTAGTTTATTAGTTAGAATACACGAAGTAGAAAAACTAACCAGATTCAATCTGTAAACGACAGAGAAGACTTTCAAAGATATGCGTGCGTGCATACACAGTAGAGCTAAAGTTGTACGGCATTGCGTTATAACATAACACGCCCCTTCGAAGATAAAATTCCATGGGTGTCAACCGGACACAAAATAACAAACACAGTAACATAATAATAATTATACACTCACGCCCCTTCTGAGATAAAACCTGGTTTTGTCTCAACAAAAATAAATAAATAAATAAAGTCATAACAGACGAGATGAAATGACATAGGCATGATGTCAAGATGAGACCAAATGCTACAGACAAACAGTGTCACACATGTGACTGTCCAGACGTAGATGTAATGGTGAGACGGTCCGGCGTCTTGCGAATACGAGTGCTACGACGAACAGGCTGGGTAGCGGTGTCAGTAGGTACACGTACTGATGAAGTTGGGGAAGGGGTATGACTAGCGGAGTCAACACATGGGGGAACATACGGACGGAGAAAGCGGCGATTACGCCAGAGGACACGGCCACTAGGCATCTTGACGAAGTAGTCACGCCGACTGCCAATTGCTACAATAACGCCACGCATGAACCACAGCTTGGTCTGGTGGTGCTGAACATCAACGTGGGTGCCAATCCGTAGAGAATGGAGAGAGCGTGCCGATTTGTCATAATGTGTTTTCGGATCTACAGAGTCCACAGCCTCAGCAGACGGAATCCAGTGCCGATCAAAGCTGGCACGGCGGGCAAACACAAACGACTGGAGGGACTGACCGAACAATACTTGGGCGGGGCTGCTGCCATTAGGGCGGGGAGTATTGCGCCACTCCAACTGGAAGGAGTCTACATCCAGGTCTCCATTCCGGGTCGTCTTCTCAATGAGCAGTTTCACTGCTTTCACTGCTGATTCTGCGTGGCCATTGGATTGAGGGTAGTGTGGGGTGGAAAAGCACTGTTCCACACCCCAACGCTCACAGAACTCACGTACACGAGAAGCGGCAAACTGCGGGCCTCCATCTGTGAATATCTTGCGCGGTACGCCAACATCTGCGAACCAACGGCGGAAGTGACAAATAATGTCATGGGAGGTAGCGGTACGGCCAATTCGAGCTACACACGGCCAGCCGGACAGACGGTCAGAATATACCAGGAACTGCCAGCCTTGGCAAGAGAAGAGATCTGCGCTGGCATACTCGAATGGAAACGTCGGCTGTGGCTTGCATATCAATGGCTCCTTCTGCTGCGAACGTTGGAGCTCACGACAGACAGGGCAGGCACGGATCAGGGCTGTGATGTCATCACTCATCCTCGGCCAGTAAACCACTTGACGCGCACGACGCTTGGTACGTTCCAGGCCCTGGTGAGACGAATGCGGGTCAGTCAGTACACGGCGTTGTAGAGACTTGGGCATAACAAGACGAGAGCCACGGAGGACAATGCCGTTATCCAGGGTGAGGTGCTCACGGCCATTCCAATACGGAGCGAGAGCAGGTGGCATGTGACGTCTGGCAGAGAGGAAACCGTCTCGAATATAGGAGACTAACTGCACATAATCAACGTCAGACTGAGCGGCATCGCGGAGCTCGTGGAACGGGAGACCAAATAGCGCTGATCCGGAGTCATCCTGCTGAAGGCATGCACGGATGGCTTGTCCAGATAGCGAGTCGGCTTCTCCCAGGAGATCATCGGCAACCGGGTTCTGCACTGGAGCACGCGACAAGGCATTAGCAAAGGCATGCTCAGAGCCCTTGCGCCACGAGACGTCGAATTGATAGAGTTGTACCTTGGTCATCAGACGTTGGAGCCGAGGGCTCTCAACCTGGTCCAGTGTGTAGGTGTTCAATATTGGAACAAGGGGCTGATGGTCAAACACCTACATGAAACGACATGCCAGCAAGATAGATGTGGCATTTTCGGATGGCCCAGGCGACACCCAACATCTCCAGTTCGATCATTGCGTACCGGGATTCGGGGTCGGTGATGAATCTGCTGCCGCACTGAATGAGGCGCCACGAATTGTTCTGGTACTGCCAGAGGCCAAATCCGAGACCCTTGGTCCTAGCGGCATCACACTCGAGACGTGTCTGTGCTGACGGGTCGAAGGCCAATAACGGTGGGTCAACAAGTGCTTGCTGCACAGCGTCCATAGCAACTGTGTGCTCGGGTAGCCAGAGAAACTCATTCTTGGCTTTCAGCAGACCGCGGAGAGGTGCTGCGTGTTCGGCGATGGCTGAGCTGAAATCACTGCACTGGTTGACGAGACCCATGAATGATCGCAAGTCAGTGCGATTGGCAGGGATCTCGAAGTCGGTGATAGCGCGGGTCTTTTCCTGGTCTGTCTTCCAGCCGGACTTGTTTATCACGTAGCCGCAGAAGTTGATCTCGGTCTCGGCGAATGCAAACTTCTTGGCTGACAGGGTGATACCATACCGACGAGCGCGTTGAAGAACTTCACGAGTTCGTTCCAGGTGCTGCTCAAAGGAATCAGTGTAGCCCAGGCAGTCATCCACGACCTTGGAGAATTGCTCAATACCAGCGAATGTTGCGTCGGTCCGCTGGTTGAATTCGTCGCCAGCAGAAATCAGACCTTGTGGGTTCCGCAGGTACTGATATCTGCCCCACTGTGTGATGAATGTGGTCAAACATCTGGACTCGTCGTCCAAGGGGACCTGCCAGTAGCCGTGGCGAGCATCCAGCTTGGTGAAATACTGGGCGTTACCAAGGTTAGAAACGACATCTCGAGGTGCGCGCATGGGATGCGCGGGCCGGGCAACTTGCTTGTTAAGCTTAGTGAAATCCACCGTCATCCGGACTTCTGCAGTGCCTTTCTTTTCGGCTATGACGATGGGGTGACACCACTCCGTTGGCTCTGAAAACGGTGCGATGATGCCATCTGCGACCATCTTGTCCAGGTGGAGTTTCACCTGGTCACGATAGGCGTAAGATAACCAACGGGCGTTGTTCAACTTGAACGGCTGGGCGTCAGGCGCGAGTTGGATGTGCATCGGCTGACCGTCCATGGGTCGGAGCGTGTCCTCTGCAAATACGTCTGCGAACTCGTTGAGGAGGTCCTGGCAGATACGTACACGCTGGTCTGGTGTAGGGTTGCTGTGCTCTGCAGAACGGGATGTCCCTTGTGTCACTGAAGCGATCTGTGGCCAGTTAGGCGGCAAGAAACCCAACGCCTTGAGCGATGAGCGCGACAGCAATGCGCTACTGAGTTCGTCGTACACATGTAGACGAGTGGTGTGCGTGACATCACGAGCGACAACCCTGGCGGGAACAGTTCCCAAGCTGGTCAATGGCTGACCGTTCACGGCGACAACATGGTCGGGGTCAGGTTCAAGATCAGCTACACTGCCACCAAGTCTGCGGAGATGACTAGCACCAATAGCATCAACATCCGAGCCAGTATCTGGCAACCACTCTAACGTGCACGACCGGTCGTTGTCGTCAAGACGTGTTGACAGCATCACTTTGTCACCAGCCTGCACTGCGTGAATGGTGAGGCATGCGATGGTCTTGCGGCACATTGTCGCGAAGTGGTCCCTGCCCTTGCACTTACGGCACTCTTTGCCCTTGGCAGGATACATTGACTTCGTGTGCCGGGATCGTCCGCACTGCGAGCACTTCGCCGGCCTGTCAGCTGCAGCAGATTTCGGCTTACTAGCCAAAGCGGATTTGCTGCGTTGATACGACGACCTTGTTGCGGCATTCACGGATGCCGGTACCATGCTGTCACCGGTCTGCTGTGCGGCTTCCTCAGCCCTGCAGATCTTGGCCGCGGTTTCCAGGGTGAGCGACGGAGCTGCCAGGAGCTTATGGCGCGTGTCGTCTCGCATCATGTCGTCCGTCACCTTGCGGAGGCTCTGGGGGCAAGTACTACACAGCTGAGGTGTACATGTGCTGCACAGCTCCATATCAGGGAAATCGCACTGTGCAAACAGTTCCCTCATTGCAGTAAAGAAGGAGTCAAACGATTCATTGCGATGCTGCTTTCTATTGTAAAACGCAATTCGATCTAGGAGGGGGTTTCGCTGGCGCTGGATGTACGCTTTTACTGCTATGATGATCTCTGGAGCATCGGCACTGTGGGAGATGACAATCACATCTTCGCGCAAGAAACGACGAATGTCGGCATCGAACGCCTGGCGAAGAGCTGACACCCGAGTCTCACGACTTTGGCTGGCGAGGTGCTGGCACACAGCATACTCTTTCCAACCCTCCTCCCATGCCGTGAAATCGGCCATGGTTGCAGTGCTGAGCAATACGAGTCGCTCGACAGAAATCGACTTCTGACTGTAGGATGTCGAGGTGCTGGGTACAGGTGGTGCCTGGTTGTCGCGCGTTGCATTTTCGACCAGTGTGGTGAGGCGAGTCTCGCGTGCCTCGGCCGCTTTCATCTGCTGCTGCATCAAGGCGAGCAGGGATGCAATTTCAGCACTGATTGGGGAAATTCCAGGTTCCGCCATCACGACAATTCTACAACTACAAGACACTTATGCTACACGATCGATCGTTTGAAAATAAAAGGCTACAGAATTCACGGACAACTACAGGCTGTCAAATATTCCGTACTCAGGTTACTAGTAGTTTACTGCGCCATGTTAGGTTCGGTAGACAAGAGACAAGTAGTTTATTAGTTAGAATACACGAAGTAGAAAAACTAACCAGATTCAATCCGTAAACGACAGAGAAGACTTTCAAAGATATGCGTGCGTGCATACACAGTAGAGCTAAAGTTGTACGGCATTACGTCATAACATAACAGTCTCCTTCGAAAGAAGCCCTATCTAAGCCCACTACCTAGAACTGTACCATCATTCCGTTTCAGATTGCTCGAATGACATGCACTCACACCCTCTGTTGTGATCCGATCCAGGCCAGGGAACTTCAGCCCTCACCATCGTCTACACGGATTTCAAAAGCGTCGACCTCCATTTTGAAAACATGGTGGCTGGCCGCGCTACCCGTAGGTGCACGTGCCCCCCGCGTGTCTTAGCGCGAGCTACGAGCTAAAGCCCACTCATTTCCTTGTGTTTCCCCATTTTCTTCGAAATCGCTCAGCTTTTGCTTCAGCTTTTGCTTCGCTTGTGCTTCAGCTCCACGCTGTAGTCTGAGTTTAGTTCTCTTGTCTTCTTCCAGCAGAATACTGCAAACTCTACAGCGCGTCGAGCTTCTCCTAGAAGAGTTTCCTTTGCGTCGAGATAGAGTGTCGATCGTTTCAGTCCTATCTTGCCGTCGTCTCATGAGCGCCCGAAAGCAACAGTATCTATTTTCTTGGCGTTCCATTTTCTGGCGAACTCATTCACCTACTACTTCTTCCTTTATAAAAGCTTCAGGTGGCTGAGTTCTCCCACTAGCTACAATCATGCCTTGGTAAGGAACAGGATATTCCTAAGGTACACTGTATGTACAGCCAGTGCAGTGGTGTCAGTGTACTGCACTGCAAAAAGCTACTGCATGCACTGCGCGTAGTTAATGTTTGTTTTGTCGAGAAAGAATCCCTTTCGCACTCGCCCGGGCCGCGAGGGCGCAGCACGGAAACGGGTCTATTGAATTCATTTCTTGGTCGATTTTGACAACCAATACGTCGTTGTTTTTCTTTTTTCACTGGCTATCCTTTCTCCGCTTCCGAATTGCGATGCCGTCCACCTGGAAAGCCTTGAAGTGAAACGAGTGGAGGTCGATTTTGGAGGTAATTTTCGGCCAAACGGCAATCAAATCGAAAAATTCGAAGCGGACGATCTGTTGGTATCTATCGAAAGAAGACGTTGGTCCATAAAAAATCTTTGGAAACTACACCGTATGAACCAAGGAATTACGGTAAGTTTGAGAATTTTGGTACATTTGCTGTACGCTGATTGGTCGATTAGCGCGACCGTTGACAAACGGGCCAGTGACGCTTTGTACAGCGTTGGTGAGGGCTGAACTTGAAGTGTCGTGTGCCTACCTCTTACATGTATGCAGGACGTGTGGAAGCAGTTTTTGATTAGTCTGGCCATACCCTGGCCTTTCTTACAGTTGGTGTATGATATGGAGGGTATACACATGACTTTCATACAGTTTGTGTATGATATGTAGCGGGGTAGTCGCATGACTTTCATACAGTTTGTGTATGATATGTAGCGGTGTAGTCACATGACCTCCTCAGCAGTAAACAGGTGTTGGTGGTCAAAAGTTGGTCCATCCATGGCCTGACCAACCGGACCGGTTTCGCGGGGCCTGGTATGTGAGAATGGCTTTGCACTGCCCGGGTTGTTGCTCTCAAAGTTCAGCTGCGTGCAGTTTACTGTTTTGTGTTCTCTGTCTCTCTCTCTGCTTGTCTGTCTCTGTGTCTGTCTGTCTGTCTCTCTCTCTCTCTCTCTCTCTCTCTCTCTCTCTCTCTCTCTCTCTCTCTCTCTCTCTCTCTCTCTCTCTCTCTCTCTCTCTCTCTCTCTCTCTCTCTCTCTCTCTCTCTCTCTCCCACTCTCTCTATCTCTCTCTCTCTCTCTCTCTCTGTCTCTCTCTGTCTCTCTCTCTGTCTCTCTCTGTCTGTCTCTCTCTCTCTCTCTCTCTCTCTCTCTCTCTCTCTCTCTCTCTCTCTCTCTCTCTCTCTCTCTCTCTCTCTCTCTCTCTCTCTCTCTCTCTCTCTCTCTCTCTCTCTCTCTCTCTCTCTCTCTCTCTCTCTCTCTTTTTCTCTCTCTCTCTCTCTCTCTCTCTCTCTCTCTCTCTCTCTCTCTCTCTCTCTCTCTCTCTCTCTTCTGGTGCGGTGCGGTTGTTCAGGCTCCACCGACAGCAGTAGCAATGCCAGCACAAGCTCCGGGACCAACACCAGTGGTGGAGGCAGCGGTGGTGTTCGTGTATTTGTCCTGCTACACGGCGATCTTCACTCTGAGTCGGTCTTGGCACAGCTTCGGCACATCTCCAACAGTGTCTTCTCGCTATCCGCACCACCTACCGGCAGCTACCAAGTTAAGAAGTTCTCCTCCAGTGTTGGTGAGTTTGTCTATAATAGTGCGCATGCCTTATGCATCATATCTCCTTTGCAACTTATGCGCATGCCTGAAAAGGAAATTCTTTTCTGCGAGTATGGATGTGTGGCCACTTAGTGTGTTCTATGCGCGCGCACGGTGTGTGTGTGTGTGTGTGTGTCCTTTTTCTGCGCCTTGTCCTCACCCGCTTACTGAGGTGTGGCGAGCCTGTAAGTGGGATCATTTGCAAGTCCACCCACAGTTTGCGGATTTTAGGGGGTGTCGGCCGTTGGGCGGCTCAATAGCCAATTGAGTCCTCTTTCCAAGATTCCTTTTGAGTTCCTCTCTCCCCTCTCCGGTGGAGACCCACGTGACCAATTTTGGTAGTGAGGAAGTACAGTACAGTGTGTGTGCGTGTGTGTGTGCGTGCGTGCGTGTGTGCATTTGTATTTTTGCGTTTTAGCCGCTCAAGACGTGACGAGTGTGTGCGATATGACACATCGGCGTGTGTCTGGCAAGATCACCAAGGAGGTACGGTATCACCACTGGCATCATGCCACCCAGTTGCTGTTGGCGTATTACATGTGAAGGGTTCCGATTCGAAACGAGATAATCCATTTTGTGGAAATTTCATGAAGAGTTTTTTTCAATAGAGAGGTTTTGCATTCCGAATTTCGGAATTATTTTCGGAATGTGGCGGCAGCAGTCGAAAAAGTAGTCGAACTTTCGGAAGTGTGGTGGCGAAAGTGCATGGTTTTCCGAAAATGGATTTTCGGCTCTTTCATGTTTGGGAGTGCATATTTGAATACAAAAAAGTGTATTTTTCATGTTTGTATTTTTGCTTTCTGCTGCTCTCGATTATTTGAAAATTTTCTACGTATGTAATTTTGATTTTTGCTGCTCTCGCTGATCTCGCCATGTTGACTAATCTTCTCACACTCCATCACACTCTATCTTCCTTTTGAGCCTACTGACAGTACAAGACAGTTACGAGTAGTTCGCCAACCTCGTCTTCAGCTGTTGGATCACTTGGTCCACCATCAGTCCGTCCTCGTCTTCGAACCGCACCCAAATTCAGTTTGACCTGTGCACATGGATTTGATGCCTGATCCTGCTCAGGGAGTCGTATTTTACGACTCCCTGATCCTGCTCAACCCCTTCGACGCTCTCCATTTTGTTTTGCATGGCAACCCTTGGAAACGAAGTCGAATCAGATTTTCGGAATGCAAAACACTGAAAATACCGTTTTTCGGAACGCGCTTTTTTCGGAAAAGCACAGTCGAAAATCATTCCGAAATTCGGAATGCAAAACCTCTCTATTTTCTTTTCTTTTCGGCCTGCACTGCAGCATCAGTGACTTTTATCGCCGTTTGCAGAAAAACACAAGCTTCAGGCATCATTTTGACTGGGATGTATCGCGCTGTGACCCGTAAAACCGACACACAGACGTCCGTAGGGTGAAAACGAATTCTTTCGTCACAAAAAAAACGCAAATGCTCCGGTTTGGTCTTTATAGCGTTTTGAATTGGAGCCCTTCATGTACTTTAACGTATTGTTCTGTGTTTCTATGTTATGGAACTGGCCTCTTTTACGGGCAATATAAACACAATGAAAAGCCTTTTTGTGAGAGAAAGACAGTGATAAGAGGACCATAAAACTGGTATAATAGAATTAGAACTGAAAAAAAGGAAGCAAAAAAGGTAATATATGGGAGAGCCACAGAAAGAGGTGAACCCAGAAGAACAGAACGAGAACATGACACAGTGACTGATTCCAACGCCGGCACCGTCATGCACGGAGAGTCCCGTGAGACGGCGACGGGAGCCTCGCAGACGCATGTCCACAGCGCTGAAAATGGCGAACTGCGTGCGTACGCGTGCCCATCACAGCACTGGATAGAGATTGTATGCTCAGGTGCATGCTCTTGGGGGTTACCGGCGCTTGGCGGGCATGACGGCACCTTGGCTATGCAAGTTAGTACCAAGAGTACATACCCCCCAGAGTGTGCAACGCCGGATCCAGCTCTGCATAGGGTCGTGGTCGAGCGTAATCGGATCTTCTGATGTCATGCGTACACTCCACACCAGCGCAAGGCCGGTCTCGAGGCAGGGCACCGTTATTATTGGTCCGAGAGTCCCCGCGACTCCCCGGGTTCCCCTCAGATGTGTACGGTGTTATGCGCAAAGACCCGATTAGGCTCGACCAAGACCCTATGCAGAGCTGGATCAGGCGTTGCACACTCTGGGGGTTTCCGGTACGTACGAGGTGAATAGCAATTTCTGGACATGAAAATAAAATAGAGGCCCACTGGCTGTGTGTTTTACATTTTCATATCTATTTGTATCTATTTTATTGCCTAATCCTTCATCTTTCCAAATATGTGACAATTGCTCATGCTGTGATCCCAGAGACTTTATAGCAGGATGTTTTCGACAGGCCAATTTTTTGGCCTAAATTTCAGTGTATGGAATTCTGGACATGAAAGTAAAAAAGCGTCAATAGGCATCCTATACTGCACCATTTTTGTTATTTTTTCTATTGGTGGACTGCAGTTGGCCTCTTCACACTTCCAGCCAACAGGTCCAAGACTATACAGCGTCTGAAGTGGAGGGCACATGGGGAAGCCAACGATTCGTCCATTACTTCTTATTTTACTCAAAATTCTCATGCGACATAGTACCACAAAACTCGTTGAAATGCCTCCCACGAAAAGGCTATCAACAAGGCACCGACACGAGGAGAAACTACAACAGCCCAGCTGTCAACTACAACAAGAAAAAACTTCATCAACCTGACTGACTTGACTCTACACGCGACGAAAAATTATTTTACTCGAAATGTCCAGAAATGTCCAATGTCCAGAAATAGCAATTCACCTCGTACTCTTGGTAATACTTGGTATGTTCAGGAGCTAAGATGAGGACAAATCACCTTGTCCAGCATTGGTGGTTCAGTGGTAGAATCCTCGCCTGCCACGCGGGGGGCCCGGGTTCGATTCCCGGCCAATGCATTTGTTCTTCTTCTTTTTACCCCCCATATTCTGTCTGGAATAGAGATGTTCTTTTTTTTACAAGTAAAAAGATTTCTTATACGCAGATATAGGAATAGAGATGTTCCGCATGACGTAATTACGTTTGTAAAAAAATGTAGTCGACCTACGGAAAGTCTTACGTAGACTACATGTGGATCTGTGTTCCGCCATACAGAGTTTTCGAATCACGTATTTACCCTTGACAACTCGGAATGCGGCGGTAAACGGCCGGGTCGACCTGTAGCAAGTAGGGCTCACGTGTGTGTGTGTGATCCCCGGTAGCCTAATCGGTAGGGTACTGTCCCGGAAAAACAGGGGTGCTGGGTTCGAATCCCGCTCGCGGATCCTTCTTTTGCAACAGACCTGGGGAGAGAGTCATAATTTTTTTACCCCAATCCACTTACGGAGCACCTACGTTATCGGAGCCCTACCTACGTACTCTACGAAGACAACTTTCCGTAAGAGGAGTGCAAACTTGCAAACTGACGGGTTTTCTCGCCCACTTACGTGAAGTTGCTTCACTTTAGGGGTCGTCGCAAAAGTTTTCTGTCGTCCCTGAAACGAACATCGTTCATTTCGTACTTGGACCCCTCCCCTCCCTCTGAAACAAACACAGCTTGCTGTGCTGGACGACGAAAATCGCATGCATGTACATGTCATATGTACAATGTCGGTTGACTTGCAATTTTGGCTCGCACCCAGATTACAATGATCCAGATTACAATGATGCTGGCTGAATTGCCGGCTTGATTTTAACCCGCAGTCTCTCTTCTCCCAGGCATGTATTCTCAAGCCGCTTGTAAAGTGTCTTGCAGTGCAGGTCTCTTCGTTTTTCGTATGTTTATGAGTGAATTCCATTCCGAGGATGGAATTCATTTCCTTTATTTTTAAACCCCTGGAGAAATATTTTTAAAATATGTTTGCTCGGTGCTCTGGCCTCTTGTTCGTTCACGACCCAATAATTTTTATAAACTTCGCGCTACTGATTGATTCCCCAGGGTATTTCTGCATGGGAGCTAGCCAATCAAAAAGGAATGTGGCCATTTGGCCAAAAATTGTCACATGTCGATCCCACATGTATACAATCTGCCCTGGAACAAAAATTGGTGAAGAAAAAATCGTTTGAAAATGGAAAAAAAATGCATTGGCCGGGAATCGAACCCGGGCCCCCCGCGTGGCAGGCGAGGATTCTACCACTGAACCACCAATGCTTGTGTTGAATTTCTTCCGTGATGGTGCGGTCATAATGTATACAACACGTGGAAATGTGTATGTACGTTTCACTGTGTGTGTATGTGCGTGTGCATGTGCGCCCACCTGCGTGCATCTGTGTGTGTGTGTGTGTGTCCATGTGTGTGTGTGTGTGTGCATGTGCCTACGTTTGTACACGCATGCAGACGTGCCTACTGGCAATCTCGAGCACACTGCAGCTTCACACGCGTGTGTTTGACGCCAACGCGGAGGACGACACAACAGCGGCAACTGCAACGGCGCCTGGCAGCACAGCCGTAAGTACGGCAAAGTGCCGTCGACAGTCTGGTCGGTCGAGTTGCTCCCTGTACATCGGCACGTCGTCCCTACATCCCCTGTGTCTTGTTTTGTGTTTGTCTCCACATGTCTCTTTGTAGGGCTGTGTTCCGGCTGTGTTCCGGCTGTGTTCCGGCTGTGTTCCCAGTAAAAAAGAAAAAAGAAAAGAAAAAAGAAAGTACTGTATTCCCCTGAATATAGGTCGCACCTTTTTTTTACATTTAACTTCAGGGCCAACAGAGGGGCTGCGACTTACACTTGAGCATAATTACTTCTTAAATGAATATGTCGGAACGATATGACATGGAAAACCTTACACCCACACCATCTTCAATCCAAGTGGTCTCTTCGCTGCAAATTACAATAATTCGCAATGAAATTTTCGGCCAGGAGCCATCAGAGACCACTTGGATTGAAGATGGTGTGTGTGCAAGGTTTTCCATTTAATGAAGTGGCTGAAGTGGAGCTTGCGCACATTAAGATATGACATGGACCTGGAAATGAGGGTGCGACTTACAATCGGGGAAATTGTGTACATGCGGTAGTGAAAGAGAGAGAGGATTGCCATCTGCCATCCGTAGCATATCCAGGCAGGGGTGTGATGCTTGAGTTTCTCCTCTCACACAAAGCCACGCATGCGCAGACACAAGTTTGCCCCCGCACGAACATTCACGTGCACCACCCCCCCCCCCCCCCCCCCCCACGCACACACATGTACGCAAACACACACACAAACACACACACGCCAGCTGCACGGGAATGTTTTGCAAGAACACCCAACGCCTGCCAAAACTCTCTCTCTCCTCTCTCTCTCTCTCCCTCTCTCTCTCTCTCTCTCTCTCTCTCTCTCTCTCTCTCTCTCTCTCTCTCTCTCTCTCTCTCTCTCTCTCTCTCTCTCTCTCTCTCTCTCTCTCTCTCTCTCTCTCTCTCTCTCTCTCTCTCTCTCTCTCTCTCCTCTCTCTCTCCCTCTCTCTCTCTCTCTCTCTCTCTCTCTCTCTCTCTCTCTCTCTCTCTCTCTCTCTCTCTCTCTCTCTCTCTCTCTCTCTCTCTCTCTGCGTGTCTGTTTGCAGCCCGATCCGACGGCCAACCTGACGTTCAACTTACGCCTGACCAGCAAGGAGAAAGAGGCTCGCTCCAACGTCGTCTTGCCGTATACGCAGGTGCAGAAACGCGATCGCTCCGTTGCCGGAGGTCCCTCGTCGGGTCAGCTCGGTGCCGCGGGTGGTGGCCAGATCTACTATCAACCGGACGATGCCGACGATTTCGACGAGGAAGACCCGGACGATGACCTCGACATTTGAAACGGGAGTGTCGCTGGGTATCAGTGACCCGTGGAGCTGGCCTGGTGCCGGGTGTCACAGCTGTGAGCGACTGGACTGGAGCTGGGTGTTGCGGCTATCAGTGACTCGGGCAACAGGACTGGTGCGGTGGTGTTGCGGCTGCGAGCGATTCGTCCAACTTGACTGGAGCAGGGCTTCAAAAATTCTCGAATTTCCTCCGCGGGGAAATTGCGAAAACGCAAAGCATTCCCTGCCCGAATCCTTCACTGTAACCCTGTCGTTGTCATGTTTAGACTCTAGCAAAGTGCGTACTTGACGTATGTACTAGATGCTCCTGGATGCTTCTCAATAGCTACGGAACACGCCATTCTGCAATGCAAACCAACAAGTTTTGCAAGTTTTTTTTATAACTTTCGTAAATTAGACAAGGGTATTCCATTTCCTCTTTCCAACGTTGGCTGCGTTATTTATTGGTTCGCTATAAAGCAGGGTGCATCATACACGAGTGCACTGGATTTGGTTGACTGGGACAATTTTACATCAGTGTGCTGCTTGCGAACTCGAGGTTTCAGATGGCTCGTATGGCAACGAAAACTACTGCCAGAACATACATGGAATTATAAAAACTAGTATTACATAAACCTTGTTATAGTTCACACATATTGACACCCATGTGGTTCAAATGGTCCGAAGGGACCGGGGCTCTGCCAACCGCGGAAGGTTGTAGTAAGGTCACTGTTTCCGAACGCAGTGTCCTGCACCTTGTTTCATGCTGTCAATCTAACAGCATGTAAGAACATACTAGTAGCAAGAGTACATAACCCCAAGAGTGTGCAACTGCCTGCACAACCTCTATGCTGTGCTGCGACGGCAGAACTTCACGCAAATAATGTGCACGGGTTCATCACGCGATGTGAAGTTCTGCCGTCGCAGACCCCATAGCTGGAGTTGCACACTCTTGGGGGTTATGTACTCTTGCTAGTACCTGTAGGCTGTAGTCTGCAGACCAGGTAGTAGTGGAATACTCCCTGGTCTGCAGACTACAGGTACAGTCAGACCTCGCTTTAACCGCACACATCCCTTTTCCACGAGAATAATATATAAATAATAATATCTTTATTAGGATGACCCAGAGGCTTGTCGCCTATCAAGGGGTTCACCGCTTTGAAGGATGTACATGTACACGTATGAGCTAAAGTGAAAGTAGTGAAAAGTTGTGCAGCGTGAATGCGTTGGGGAGCACACGGGGGGGGGGGGGGGGGGGTTATGTACATGGCGTAGGCATACCGGAGAGCGAAGCACTATGTTTGCAAGTGAGTTTGCGAAGCTCATTCTTGAAAACAATAATGGATGGTTCTGCAGTTAGTCTTGGTGGGAGGCAGAGAATATCCGGCTAGGCGAGGGAACCGGATAACCGAACACCGGTTATGTTGGATGCATCACGTATGCTGTAAATCTGTAACCAGCTATTTTCTTCCAGGTGGCGAGGGATCCGGATAAAAGAGGACCGGATAAGCGAGATCTGACTGTACTCTTGATGTGATTCTGCTGCATGCTTTTACCCATGTGTGGACTGTGAGCTACTGGATTTACTGGTGCTAGTAGATGATGGGAACATGTATTGCATGCAGGTCTGTGGGGCAATACAGCTGAGCTGCGTGTGTGACCACAATACAGTGCACTATAGTGCAGTCCGCTGTCGTGTGTCGATGAAATCTGATCAAGCCGGTGAATTCTACACTCGGCCCAGGGCCGGTCCTGTGCAGCCCTGGACCTGCAAACCAGGGAGTCGTATAATACCGGTATTTTACGACTCCCTGCTGCAAACACTGCATGATTGGGATGTGAATTCGTGCAGGGCGCAACCTTGATTCGCGCGGGATCGGATTTCATTGAGCAGCGATGTACGTACGTAGGCCAAGCGCATGCTGCATGTTGCATACATGTACCTGCAACCAACCTTTGCAAGCCTGCAGATGAGGACAATGACATACTTATTACGATACCTTGGTATGAAATGCATACAAATGTGCCGCGAGGCATGCGACAAATGCACTTTTGGGTGCTTATTTACGGTACCGCCAGAGCGCCCCACCTTGATTTTACAGCCAGGGAAAGGAAAATCGTATGGCAGAATGCAACGAAGTTTGTACGGTGTGAGAACCTTAGTGTACTAAGGTCACAAGCAGGTTTTTGTGTGGAGCTCGTGTCCGCTCGAAGGTATGGATTGACTGCACAACTTGCAATATGTGTACGAAGTTCGTGTCGTATGACCTACAGACAGGAGACCACCTCCACAATACAACCACGAAAGGACGAGATGGTGGGGCGCTCTGGCGGTACTTTACGGTATTACCAGCATCGGTATCGGGACGGTCCCGGACACATTGGGGTGGTTGGTAGGTATGATACCGGTATGCTGTGCTTGGTGCCTGCATGCATACACGCATGCAGGCATGCTCGTTCTTCAGCTCCTGCGAATACACAGTGCAGCATGAAACTAGACGTGCGGAACGCGCAAGAGCAAATTCGGCACGGTATCTGATAATCAGTGACCAATTGCTTGACCCCTCCAACACCACTGCCACCACCACCATCACCACTGCCACCACCACCATCACCACTGCCACCACCACCGTCAACACCACCAACAACACTGGCACCATCACCACCACTGCCACCACACATCCACACAGACACAGTACGGAATAGTTGTTCAGCTACTACTTGCAGATCAAATTACGCATCAGGAATGTAAGGCCATAGGTACATAGTACACACAATGTAGAAATTGAGTGCGGACAACACAGACGTCACACACTGTCACACTGTTAGCATAAGGATGAGCTGCAATTTGAGAGACAGTCTCAAGGAGATAGAGAGCGAAAGAGAGAGCGAGAGAAGCTGGATAGCTTGGCCGGCTGTTCACAAACACACAGAATTAAAATAAAAAGAACCAGGACCGATTTGGCCACAGTCAAAGCGCCACGCTACATTAAATAATGCATAATGAATAAGAACAGCATTAATTTTGTACACTAAGCATAAACATGATGGGTGCAGACCACCTACAGCGGAACTAGAACAGCAACAGCAAGAGTAAAACAACACGCAAAGCTGAAAAGGAGCCAAGGAGCCCACCACATGCGGGTCTGTGCGCGCGCGCGCGCGCGTATGTTTTCTTGTAGGCATGCCCGGGAAGTAAAACAAGACTGCGTGCGTATATGGAGGGTTGGGGGGGGGGGGGGGGGCAGCGTTTTGATCCATATACGCATATCAGATATTTGTCCTAAAGATATCACAATTTGAGCCTACTAGAAGCATGTTCAGCATGGAGAGGGGGGGGGGGGGGGGGGGGGTAGCAACAGCAAAAGCAGCATAGCATAGTACCATGCAATGTACATACGGATGAACGCGACAGTAGAGCGAGCGAACGCAGGCGATCAACAGCTTGATGACTGTCCTCCTATTTGTCTTCGCACCAGTCGTTCTCCTTGCGAATCTGCTCTTCCTCCTCAGCTGTGAAGTCATTCTTGATATTAAAGGTCTTTCGGATCTCCTCGGGAGTCTTGCCTTTGATCATATTAGCGACTGTTTTGCAAGTGACATCCAAAAGGCCCTGGGTTGGACAAAGAGAGAGATAGATAGATAGAGACAGCGAGGAAGGGAGATGGAAAGGGAGATAGACAGACAGACAGAGGGGGAGGGAGAGAGAGAGAGAGAGAGAGAGAGAGAGAGAGAGAGAGAGAGAGAGAGAGAGAGAGAGAGAGCACAAGCACAATCCGTATGAAGAGATCTGGTAGACCAATGCAATGTAAGCCACACATCACACAACTACTTCCTACAACACCGTAGACAACCAGAACAGAGTACAGTGCCGCTCAATGAAATGCTGCTAGGTGCAAACAGAGAGCAGCACTGTACATCTCAATCAACTCCCACACTACGCGCGCGTGTGTGTGTGTGTGAGAGAAACGTCACAAATGATTAGCGGAACGGCAAAAACCTGTTTGTAACCAGGCCGGCGCTTGCCAGTGTCGTCTTTGCCAACGTTGGTTCCGCAGTCCCCATGGAATGGCTATCCATCAGTGCGGTCACCAACCTGCTCCCTACAGTTACTTCGCAGTGAAGCACCTCACACCGCAGTTTCAAGTCCCGCAGCGGCTTGGCCAGCCACAAGTACGACCGCACGAAACGCAAGACAGCGTCAGAAAGGGCAGACATCCCATTCCAGTGCCCATGCCACAGGAAGTTCCGACCACGTCATCACCTAGTGCGCCATCAGAAGTGCTGCTCGTCAGCCTCTTCCACCCCTCTCCCCTGACGGGGACCAGGTAACTTACCAAGGTAACGCGTATCAAGGTCAAGGTGTGTGTGTGTGTGTGTGTGTGCATGTGTGCGTGCTGTCAGCAGGGTGAAGTTGATAGCATTGCTATGCCCAAACTACACACATGTACAAGGCCACAATCAAAATAATGATACAAACTTGTACATAAGAACATACTCAGCACCAACTTGTGATTGTGACATGTGTGTAGGATTGTATTCTTTTCAACCCACACAAACACACACACACAACCTACACACCCAACCTACACACCCACTCACCCACCCACTCTCCCACCCACTCTCATACGCACACCACGTACCACACACACACACACAGACAGATGCAAATTAATAAAACAATTATTCTGATTTGAGAACGAAACCAATAATGCAGACCTCCTAGCCATGGCACCAGCTCTCAGCCGGTTACTGACAGGGCATCGCAAACACAATATGAAAGGATTCGCTAGAAAAGAAGTACGATGCAACATAGACGAAACGACATACAGCTCGAACGAATAAATCAAAAAAAGAAAATAGTCTCACCTTGATGTCCAAGTAATTCGCAGCTAAGATGAGCTCAAAGAGAGTTCCTTGGTCAACTTTCAAAAATTCCATGTCCCAGCTATCAATGTTGTCGGTTCTTTTCTCTCTGGCATCTATGGAATCATCCTCTGGCACTGCTGGGTCGTTCTGGTGCTGCGTGCACCAAGAAATCACCTTTCTCATAATGGTGGCATTCACATTGGGCAAAGGCACAGGCTCATCGTCGTCATCGTCGGTATGGCCAAGGTCCTCTAACATGGTCTTGATTGTTACAGCCTGCTGGGCAACGTTGATTTCGACATCGAACACCTCGCCGTCATTACTCTGCAACTTTATTTTAGATGCCATTTTCAAAACAATCTCTGAAGATCGAAACACCTCGATCAGTCTTCAAAAGCCTCAACTGATTACTTTCTCTTGCACACTGCGACTGATCAATTTTTGGTGAAGCCGAAGTGCTTTTGACTTGAGCCTTGAAAACAATTTTGCAGCTGAACGCGTGAAAAAGATGCAAAGCGGTACATATTTAAACTAAAATTTACGTCATCAAAAATAAGTCAAGGATTACGTCAGGACTCAGGTAGGACTAGTACTACTAGGAGCCAGCGCGATAGCTGGCTAGCTAGCGCCTAGCGCGCCTGCTCTTTATCCCGCACCACCCGCATGCGGGTCGTGCGGTATAAAGCAGCTTTTCTGTGTAGATCTACGAGATCAGGGAGTCGAGTAAGCGGCAGTGAACGCCGGCGAGCCGCAGACCAACGATTACGTCGATCGAGCGATTTGATTTTGAGGCATGTGATTGTGAGTATTCATGGTATACCACAGCGACTCCGCCTACTCCTAGCCTACTAGTACTACTAGTACTACCATGACTACTAGTAGTAGTAGATCTACTAGGCCTAGGTAGGCTACACAGCTACAGTCTGTAGATCTACTAAAAAAGTGTAGTGAGTATACAGACAGTACAGCGACTCCTCCTGATCCTCGGACCTCGGCTTCAATCCTTCATGTCATGAGTGACCACTGGTGACAGACATGAGCTCAGGGTGTAGATCTACGTGGCAACGATTTACGTGGGTAGATCCAGGCGTACAGATCACTGCACTGAAGCCAGTACAGTGCATGGTTCGTCAAATCTGCCAGCGTGGCGCCTCGTCTACCTGTCCTCCCTCGTCAGCATAGCCCCCAGTTTCTACTACTCGTGATGCTGCCGCAGTTATTTGCTAAAAACTTTGGCGACGCGTTGGCCGTTGTACTGCACGCTGGAGGTGCGACTGAGAATCATTATTAATATTATTATTATTATGATCTGCCCGACCCACAATACCAGCAGTGGCTGCTAGCTGTCTCATCCAGCAGTAACCAAGCATGTAGCAACTCAAGTGTGAGTTGCTCATTAACTGCGTTATAGGCCATTGTGTTGTGCATGTACAAGTCATTGATTTACATGTATCTCACTCGGAACACCCTGCCCACACCAGCCATATACATGCACACTGCGCTCACATCAAAACGTTCAGTACTGGTAAATATGCATGATTTTAGCCCAGTCACGGTACATCACTACATGTCCATCGGCCAAATCTCAGAAAAGGCCTCTTTCGGAGAAGGTGATAAACTGAAGCTCCAAGTAAACGCCCTTTGGCACACTAGCTCATGAGATCCCATACAATACGAATCCGATTGTTGGACATTGCCAATCCAGTCTAGGATAGTCGAACTGGGTCGAATACCTTCTTCCGATTTTGGTAATTTCGTCCACCAATGTGACATCTTTCACATCGACTTTTTTGCCGTGGCGAATGTTCTTGAGCCGCTCAGCAGAATCTACGCACGCTCGAATACTTGAAATGCCTGCATGTTGACGGTTCACAAGATTCTAACGAGCTTGGTGGAAATCTAGTACTATTAGTTATTTGGAGATTTTTTGGGGGAATCTGAATTGGAACGGTAGAACCTCATTTGGAGAAGACGGCGTGTGGCCACTGTCGGATTGTCGCTACTGTGCTTCAGAACGGTACAGGTACATGTATTTGCAATTTTGCATGAACGTGCTATTGAAGATGGACAGAAGATGAAGTGACGGCTTTCTTGAACGCTGAAAGGTTCTACCTACGTACCAATTTTCACATTCTCGACACTGAAAAAATAGATAAGATTGCTTCTAATAAGGCCGTAAGGGTAGGTAGAATGTCCTACTTCACACTGAACGCACGCCTCGTTCCAAATACTACATACAATTTCACGCAAGGGTAAGACGAACAGACAATGCTGCGCACCTCCTTCTCGACGCGCGCAGAACCAGCATCCACCCAGGGTTAGCGGAGTACCACGGGGCACCTGTCTGGTCCAAATGGTTTCGGATCCTGCGTGATTGGTTTGTTATTAATGAGTTTTGTTAGTAGTGACGAAGTGTACCCATTGTTTGTCAAAATTTGCTCGCATAGTACTCCACTTCCATGATAATGTTGCCTATGCTGTTTCTCATTAGGATTTTGGCAAATTCTATCCTTCGCTTTCATATAACTGGTCCAGGAACCCGTTTGAACTTGCGAAGTAAAATAAAATCAATCAATCAAATTGATGTGAGGCGCCTCAGTTCTTCTTGTAGAAGGTGAGGAGAGCAGTTACGATGGGCACGATAGACTAGTGCTTTGACAAGGTGAACTTTGTTTTTACTTCCGAAGTAGTTGATGTGTAACGTCCCCATGGAATATACAAGCCAGTAAAGGTCTTAATTTCGTATTTAGCGCCTTTGGGCGTCATTGTGTTCTTCTCATTATTTCGCACCAATTTATTATAATTTATATTGTGGTATTCTCTAGCTTCTGTTTGCTTTGCAGTTGTTCTTGTGCAACCACCGCATTCCGACAGATCCTGAAACAGTCGAACTCAGGAAATAGCACTATTAGTATCACTCAGGCTGCAATATTCATACCTAAATGACATAATGAAATATCTTCAACACCCATGAGCTACATTGTATATGATGGTTGGCTATCACCTGACCGCTCATGTTTATTGGCAGTCTTCGGACGGGCCAGGAGATGTTGAATAAATAAATAAATAAATAAATAAATAAATATAATTACCATAAATATATCATCGTTCTAGCTCAATTTTTTCCCCTGTCATAGTCCTGTTTTAAGCTGTTTATCATGTTCAGCATAAGTGAAGTTGTGAATCATGCTTGCATGGTTGACTCCAACGCGTACATGCGAGTAATAATAACAAGAGTAGATCAACATTTATCTACTCTTGATAATAATAATAATAAGGTGCGTTCACCCGGCGCTCACCATTCGCGACACACTATCCGATATTGGCACTACACAATTGAGAGGTTGCGCACAACGAAAATTCGTAAGATTCCGACCTTCCGGCCGGGTTCGAGTAACGAAAGTTACTACGAAGATCCGTCCAAACGCGACCGAAACAGAACATATCTACGAAAATATGTTTCGTCACCTGGAGTACTAGAATGCTGATATTTTACAACTCCCTGTCTTGACTCTTCGCACCGCGCGGCCGCTGTGTCGACCCACTACGAAAAAGTTCACGCCTGGTGCGCAACCTCACGGTTTACGAATATTCGTTAGCTTTTTGCGTTAAAAATATTCGTTACGGCACTACAGTCCATTTCAAAACTATAGACGCGTAGGGTTTTTGAAATATTTCAAATTTGGCTGGACCTTTTTGAGAATAGGTTTCGGAATATTGCTCAGGATCGCTCCACAATTACTCTCATATAGTTTCTAAACGATTGGATAACAGACGCCCAATTTGGAAAATTTTATGCACAAAGTGATCACAGATTTTATGTGGTATAGATGCTGGCATAACGGTTTTTGCCTAGGTACGCGTCTATAGTTTTGAAATGGACTGTACGAATTTTCTTTGTGCGCAACCTCTCAAGTATTTCACGACACCGGATGCTAGACACGGCTACTGGCAAGTGCCGCTGGCAGAAGAGTGTCGCCATTTGACCACATTCATAACTCCCTGGGGACGATATGTATCGGTACTCGCGCAATCCCTAAGGTTTTGTGGCGGCGGGCGACGAGTTCAATCAGCGAATGGATGTCGCATTTCAAAATATAGGAAATATGGGCAAAGTGGTAGACGATTGTTTGCTCCACGACCAGCAGTTGGATACACATGTCGGGAGGACGCGTAGAATTTTGAACCAGGCGCGAGAACACGGTATCACATTTTCTGAAAAGAAGTTCAAGTTTGCAGAAAGTGAAGTACACTTTTGCGGGTACATGGAAGGCCAAACGGGTTGGCGTATGGATGACGAGAAAATGAAAGCAATCAGGGAGTTCCACACACCGAAGAATCGCACCGATCTGAGGTCTTTCTTGAGACTTTCCAATCAATTCCGCCATCTCCGTAAGAACTGTAGTCGGGAGCCGATCCGATCAATGACAGCTTCAGACATCACGGTAGCAACAGATCCCGCAGACATAGCAGACATATTGAACACGCAGTTTACGTCGTTTGGACTTCCTGACGACCCTACGTGGCCTATACCACCACTCACCCCTTCACCCTCAATACCTGCGTCCCTCCTATCATTGTCGACTGGTACAGCCCAAGTGAGGAAATATCTCCGTAATCTGAAAACTGGCAAGTCCCCTGGTCAAGACGGAATTACCAACGAAGTTTGGAGAGCTCTTGCTCCGTCTGTTGCCTATCCTGTGTCAATTATCTTGAATATGTCATTTCGCGAAGGGAAATTCCCAGCCATGTGGAAAACTGCGGTAGTCGTGGCCACCTACAAAAATAGAGGACCACGCACCACCCCCAGCAACTATCGCCCTATCTCATTGCTCTCTACTTTATCAAAAGTGTGCGAACGTGTTGTATATGACATCATTTATGACTATGTTCGCATTTCACTTTCGCCAGCACAGTCGGGCTTTTGTCGGGGTGACTCCACCAGGTACCAGGTTACCCGCCTCGTGCAAGACATCCACACCGCCCGGAATGCCCATAACCATGTTGGTTTAGTTTTCTTCGATCTCGCAAAGGCCTTCGACACTGTTTGGCACAGGGGTCTCTTAGCTAAGCTGCGAACAGTATATCGCATTGATGGCAAGGCTATCAACTGGCTCTCATCGTATCTCTCTCACCGACATCAGCTTGTACGCCTCTCAACTGTGTTATCGGAGCCTTTACCCGTTACTTCTGGAGTCCCCCAGGGCTCAATCCTTGGGCCACTGCTATTTCTCCTGTATATTAATGACCTCCCCGATATTGCCCCTGGTGTCATCCTTTTCGCTGACGACACAGCTCTTCTTTGTCCAATGCTTGCCCTATACGACTGCACGAAGCCATGCAAGATAGCATTGGGAAAGTTATAACCTGGATGCATGATTGGAAGTTGCAGCCAAACGCTGATAAAACGGCAGCTATGTACATTTCCCCTTCTCCCCCTTCCCTGCCACTTTGTTTTCCTTCTTCAAGTGTTGCTATTCGT